GCAGCCGGTGGTTGTCCTGACAGGATAGGCCGCCTTCCCTACCCTTCCCCACGTTAATGCTCCCAGCGCTCCCCCTATCCCTTCTATCCTACCCTGTCTCTTATACACATCTAGATGTGTATAAGAGACAGCTCTAATGCTCTCTCCCAAATCTCCCGTCACCTCTTAGCCTTCCGATTGTCCCCTGCCCTCCTCCGCCTCCACCCCTTCCTCCCCGTTTCCGCCCCCCCGAAAAAAAAAGAAAAAAACAAGGAAGCTCTAAAATCTCCTACGAGACTCTCTCCGAAGTCTCTCGTCCTGTTCATCGTTACATCTCACTAAGTCCCACAGCCCCGGTGTTCCCCCTCCCCTCTACCCGTCCGTCGATCACGTAAGTTGCTATCAGATCATCTTCTGCCTAATACCTGGCTCTGTATACAGCTGTAATTCATGACAAGACGAGTCAAGGTTTTCAAGCGCCCTCCCAGCAGTTCACGTTGCCCTGTCACTTGGTTTCCATCTCGTCGTTTTTTCTCTTTCCCTCGTCCCTCCCCCTCCTTCTGTGCTACTAGTTCGCACACACCGAGTTCGAAACCGAAAAAGCAAGTGAGGGATTTCTCTTTCCCTCTTTCCTCCTCCGTCTTCTCCCCTCTGTGTTTTTTCTCTTTCCCTCTTTCCTCCTCCGCCTTCTCGCCTACTAGTTTGTAGTACACACCGAGTTCAAAACCGAAAAAAAACAAGCAAGGGATTTCTCTTTCCCTCTCTCCGCCTCCGTCCTCCGACTCTTCTCCCTTGTCGTCATTTTTTCTCTTTCCCTCTTTCCTCTTCGGTCTTCTCCACTCTCACCGTTATTTCTCTTTCCCTCTTTCCTCCTCCGTCTTCTCCCCTCTCGCCGTTATTTCTCTTTCCCTCTTTCCTCCTCCGCCTTCTCCCCTCTCATCGTTATTTCTCTTTCCCTCATTCCTCCTCCGTCTTCTCCCCTACTAGTTTGCACACACCGCGTTCAAAACCGAAAAAGCAAGCGACCGATTCACTACCCGAAACACACTCAAGATCAACCCCTTCAAAGAGAGGGAGAAAAAAAATACAGAGGACTCGACTCGCTGGCCAGTATCTCCTAGATAACCGAAACCGAACTGAAACCACAGATAATATATTGTGCGACCGTGGTCGCCACGCGTCGCACAAATAATATTCTTGTGTTTTCGTCAATTTTTCGATCGTCGAAAACGCCAGCAAGTTCCGGCAATGCTAAGTCTTCTATACCAAATTATTATTATTATTCGGACTCTTAGCGAAATCGAACTCCAATCGTTATCCGAATTGAACTCGCAACCAATCACCGATAAAACACACTGAGTAGATAGATCATTGATAGAACATTGATACGTCATTGATAGATCAATGATGGATGGATCATTGATAACAATGCTTTTGATCATCGGGCTAAAATCATTGACGATGAGATCATTTAGAAAAGTTGATGGGGTCATTGATGCATCACTGAAATACCATTGTTAGATCAATGATCATTGACATATCATATTAATATATCGTCGCTAGTTCATGGGTAGTAGTTATTGCTGTGCGCCATGCAGCCAAGAAGAGTGGGCAAAAGGGTTATAAATGGCGGCAATGAAAATAGCTGACAGCTATTCACACCTATTGTAACAGGGTCGGAGTCCTCTTCTTGACCCGTTGACCTACCTGAACGCTTGCATGGACCCGCTGTCGACTTGTTGTGGAACAGCACAAGGTTGCGATCCTTCACGCAGCATCGCACTTGCCCCTGGCTTCCCACTTCCAGACTCGCCGTACACGTACGCCTCTACGGCTAGCGTGCTACAAACAAAAGACTCGATCAAAAAGTCAGCGCTTGTTACCTTGTCACGGAATGAAGTCCGCACAACTAGCCAGCAAGGCACCAACCAGCCCTTGACTTGTTGACCAGCCCTTGACTTGTTGGCCAGCCCTCACCTGGTATAAATGGAGCCTTGACTTGTTGACCAGCCCTTGACTTGTTGACCAGCCAATCACCCTTAACTGCAGAAATGGAGTCTTGACCGTTGACCAGCCCTTGACGTGCAGACCAGCCCTTGGCTTGTTGACCAGCACTCGACTTGTTGACCAGCCAATCACCCAATTGTCACTTGTTGACCAGCCAATCAACCAACTGCAGAAATGGAGTCTTTGACCGTTGACCAGGCCTTGACGTGCAGACCAGCCCTTGACTTGTTGACCAGCACTCGACTTGTTGACCAGCCAATCAACCAACTGCAGAAATGGAGTCTTGATCCTTGACCAGCCCTTGACTTGTGGACCAGCCTGGGACTTGATGACCAGCACTCCAATTGCTCAACCAGCCCTCGACTTGTTTCACCAGCCCTCAACTTGCATAGACGGAGCCTTGACTGTTGACCAGCCCTTGACTTGTAGACCAGCCAATCAACCAACTGCAGGGACGGAGTCTTGACCGTTCACCATCCCTCGACTTGTATAGATGGAGCCTTGACTTGTTGACCATTCCTTAACTTGTTGACCAGCCAATCAACCAACTGCAGAGACGCAGTGTTGACCGTTGACCAGACCCCTTGACTTGTTGACCATCCCTTGACCCGTTTACCATCCCATGACCTGTTGACCAGGCGTTGACTTGTTGACAAGCGAATCACCAAATTGTAGGGATGGAGCCTTAAACCACAAGTACCTTTGCCGCGTGGGAAAATACCGGGCTTCGGGTGGGGCCTCCGACCTTTTCGGATGGCCGAAACGAAACGACCGCCGCCGATCAGATTTATCAATGGCAGCCGTCATCGAGCCTGGCCTCCGAATTTCCAGGAGTTTGGGAAAACTGCCAGTTTTCCCTAATTTCCCAACACTGGGCGAGGTACTAGTGGTTTGACCATTGACCAAATCTTGACATGTTGACCATCCCTCGACTTGTTGACCAGCCAATCACCAAACTCTAGAGATCGATATGGAGCCAAGGCGATTGACCCGGCATGCAGAGTCGAGTGCCTCGACCAGCACTCTACTTGTTGTTTCGCTAGCACCACAATCTGAAACGTCGTTGACTTCTTGACCGACTTTCTACTCCAATCATCCGTGTACGATTGTGCTGAAACGATCGCCTTTTGAACGTGCCTCACATCACCACCTTCCACAAATTGGGCAACTCCAATCTCCTCACCAGAACGCAAACATGTCAGTCCGCACCCCAAAAGCCACCCATTTACTCTCTTCAATCCATTTCTACTTCACTCCAACTTGTTATCATTCGGACTCTCGGAGTAGCGAGCAGGTTTCCCGCTTGTCCTAAATGCCATGGGTTACCTGTTTGTTCATTTATTGCGATCTGTTTGATTTGAAATTCTGAACAAATCTCTACAAATCCAAAAATCGATTGCTTATTGAGAAACTGGCGTCGGGGACTACAGATGTGATGTGAGGGACAAACAGAGCCTGGTTCGTCGGATCGCAATCTGACGGTCAACCAGATTGGGAACAACGTGAAAGGACAGAAGCTATAGGACGAAAAAAGGGACCAGATGCAGAAGGAGGGGAGAGTAAGGAGGAAAAGGAGGGAGAGGAGGAAACAATGAGGACAGCAAGCAAAGAGAAGGTAGAGGAGGAGGAAGTGACAAGGAGGAGGGAAAGAGGGAAGGAAACCAAGGAACTGAGAGGAGATGGAGAGGTCGGGACGAGGAAACGGTGGGGGAGGAGGAAACGATGAGGACTGCAAGCAACGAGAGGGTGGAGGGGAAGAAAAGAGGACAAGGAAGTGACGAGAAGGAGAGAAAGAGGGAAGGAAACCGAGGAACAGAGAGGAGATGGAGAGGGAGGGACAAGGAAAAGGAGGGAGAGGAGGAAATGACGAGGACGGCAAGCAAAGAGAAGGTAGAGGAGGGGAAGAGAAGAGAAAGAGAAAGTGACGAGAAAGAGAGGAAGAGGAAAGGAAACCAAGGAGCTGAGAGGAGATGGAGAGGTGGGGATGAGAAGGGATGGACAGAAGACAGAGGGGACACTGTCCAACCATCCCCTGCCCCTCTTTCTCTCTCCCTCTCCCGACCATCCCCAGCCCCTTTCTCTCTCTCTGCCTTCTCGCTCTTGTCCGGACCATCCCCAGCCTCTCTCTCTCTCTCTCTCTCTCTCTCTAGCGCGCGCGCGCGGCGGGGATGACAGGGGGATGCGTAGAAAATAGAGGACTCTAAAGCAAGAGCAACCTTCATGGCAGCATGCGCAGAAGATAAACTGAGGGCTGGTAAAGGAAACGAAACCGGTCGCAAACGATGCGAAGCAATATAAATGGGGCACGGGGAGCAGCATTATAAATGGGGCACAGGGGGAACACATTGGGATGTGCGAATGAACCACGGGCACAGCAGGTTGTAAAGATCATTAAAGAACGAAAAAAAAAAGAAGCATAACGAATAAGAAAGAAACACCTAATAAAATATGTTACAATTAAATATGAATTCATTCTCGTGTTCGACGTATTGAGACCAATAGGCCCTGAAAAAAGGAAGAGCCATATCGAGCCAGGGTTTGGCCGGGCCGTTGTAGTGTATGACAGCCGCCTTGTCGATCACCGATGCGGTGATCTCTGGCTGATACCCAAGCCCAAGAACATGCCATGACGGATCAATAGGTCGCACATGCCCTCGAAATGCTATCAATGCCGCTGGCAGCATTCCTAAACGCCAGAGTGTCAAATTTGACTCAATATTCTGCTCCATCACAAACAAGAAACACAAACGCCAAACATCAAGAGTTACAAAACAGCTATATGCTGAACAAACATAAGCAGGATAGTGACACTTTGTTCCTTCAAACAAATGACAAAAACAGCAAACAGCCACAGGTTAAGAAAAACCTCAATCACATAAGAATTAGACACTGCAAACATCCACCCGTTATAACAACAGCTGTCAGATGGATAAAAATAAGCAGTAGCTCAACCACAAAAGTACAGACGCACACACACACACACACACACACACACACACACACACACACACACACACACACACACA